TCTTTTCATTTTGAAAAAGAAGACTCTTCAAAATGATACATCCTCCTCATGTGGCATCAGAAAACACACTCACTGGGCATTGTTTCCACTGCTTTCCTCATCAATGATCCCAGGCACAGCCTTTCCTGCAGCTCGGCTAATTTCCCTTGAAGAAGAAAAATTAAAATCTAGTAAACAAAAAAAATTTGAGAATTTCACACTGTATTCATTAGCACAGTAAATATGAGGCTAAGGTGGGAGGATTGCTTAAGCCTGGGAGGTCAAGGCTGCAGTGAACTGTGTTCCCACCACTGCATTCCAGCCTCAGCAACAGAGCAAGACTCTGTCTCAAAAAATACATACATATATATATAAAAATAAAAAGTAAGTTGAATGTGAAGTAAGTTTCAAAAGATGAAGAAAAATAATTTGATGAATGAGTAGTAATATAGTAAAATAAATTATAATAACATAAAAAAAGAAAGAAGAAGGGGCAGTGAAAAGAATGTGTGAGAAGAGATGAGGGAAGATTTATGTAGAAGAAATGAGAGTTATGTGTAAGGATATTTCTGCTTTATTTTTTTTTTGAGACGGAGTCTCGCTCTGTCACCCAGGCCAGAGTACAATGTCACAATCTCAGCTCAATACAACCTCTGCTTCCCAGGCTCAAGCGATTCTCCTGCCTCAGCCTCCCGAGTAGCTGGGATTATAGGCGCCTGCCACCATGCCTGGCTAATTTTTTTGTATTTTTAGATGGGGAGATGGGGTTTCATGTTGGCCAGGCCGGTTTTGAACTCCTGATCTCAAACGATCCGTCAGCCTTGGCTTCCCAAAGTGCTGGGATTACAGGCGTGAGCAGCGACACCTGGCCAAGATATTTCTGCTTTCAACATGCTTACCTGTTCAAGACTCCACTGGAAACTAGAGCTTCTTTAGGATGGAAATATTTGTGATATACATTTCTAACCACAGCATCTATGAGGGAAAAACAGAAGGAGGTATATTTTAGGTTAGAAATAAGTTTGATATTATAGACTCATACCAATTTTGACCTGAAAGGCACCCTGGAACTTGGTTCCAATCCATCTCACTTTATAAATGGAAGCAGCCCAAACCTAGGAGGCTCAGACTGTTGATGAGAATGGAACATTAAAACATGCATACACAGCCCAGGGCTTTTTCCATTATGCCACTGGACCTAGAGGACTATGATATAAAATAATAGACAGAAAATTACTGCCTCTACTGAAAATAATAATACTAATTACCATTATTAACCATGATTCCATATTCTTCCAGTAAAAAGTTAATATTGGTGTCAAATCTGGATTCTCCACCTTCTCCTAGCATCACAAGGACATCTCCACCGCTGTCAAGATATTTCTTCAGGATTTCAAACTACACAAAGGAAAAAAGCAATCTATGAATATACTCAAAAGATTTTTGCCCGAAATACCATAAGATCTTAACTAGATGAAAAATAAATACTTCAAATCTATAAGGCATTTACATATAAATGTATATGAGATAAAAAGTACTCTCTATGTAGGATCTCCAAGCTTGTCTCTGAGCATAAAGCTCCAAAATACTCAAAGTAAACTTACAGTTTCAAAGCTATCAGACAGCAAGTCAAAAGTGAAAAACTTAACTAAAGGAAGCGCTCAGTTCTCCATTCAGAGGCACCCCTGGTCTCCACCTACTAACCAAAAATGTCTCTTGAGATTGCCACATTCCCTCAGGAGAAGAAGAAATAGAATCACCCCTGGTTAAGAACCACTAATTTAGACAATGCCTTCTCTTGATGGCCCACAGAGGATATCAGGATGAACACATTTCATACCACACCTGGGAGGAATTCTGTTCAAGGTCATTGACCAACTAAACCATAGACAGAAATGCATGTTTTCTGTTTATCTCCTGGAAGCTCTCTCTTGTTTTCACAAAGCTGGGGATGGGAGAAAAATCTAGGGTTGATCTTGCTGGTCTAGCCTGAGAAAATCTGGGGTGGGTGGTCCAGACAAACAGTTTCTTAACTCTCTTCATCAAGCGCTCCAGCAGAAAAAAATCTGAACATGTATATAAATACATCCAATATGTATGTATCTCTATACAAAATATGCACTTCATAATTTAAAACAACTCTCAAAAAGAAAATGTTTTAAGGGTAATGAAAATATGAATAATAAACGTAATTTCCTTCTGGCACCCCATTGATTGATCACATGCATCCTACTTTGGAAACTACTGCCCAGACTAGCTTTGCCACAGCAAGGCCCTCTTGTTCTTGCATGCTCCCTGAATTTTCCTCTCCCCCTGACTTCGCCACACTGCATAAAACAAATGAATCTGGCTGGGCACGGTGGCTCATGCCTGTAATCCCAACACTTTGGGAGGCCGAGGCGGGCGGATCACGAGGTCAGGAGATCGAGACCATGGTGAAACCCCGACTCTATTAAAAATACAAATAAAAAAAATTAGCTGGGCGTGGTGGCAGGTGCCTGTCATCCCAGCTACTCGGGAGGCTGAGGCAGGAGAATGGCGTGAACCTGGGAGGCGGAGCTTGCAGTGAGCCAAGATTGCGCCACTGCACTCCAGCCTGGGCAACCGAGTGAGACTCCGTCTCAAAAACAAAAACAAAAACAAAACAAATGAATCTTTGGAAGCCAAGTAGGCAGATCACCTGAGGTTAGGAGTTCAAGATCGGCTTGGCCAACATGGTGAAACCCCATGTCTACTAAAAACACAAAACTTAGCCAGGCATGGTGGTATGCACCTGTAGTCCCAGCTACTCAGGAGGCTGAGAGAGGGGAATTGCTTAAACCCAGGTGGTGAAGGTTGCAGTGAGCTGAGATCGCACCACTGCATTCCAGCCTGGGCAAAAGAGCAAGATTCCGTCTCAAAAATGAAACACAACAAAAAACAAAACAAAATAAAAAAAATGAATTATTTCAAAATCAAAATTAAGGTGAGGCACAGTGGCTCACGCCTGTAATCCCAACACTTTGGGAGGCTGACGTGGGTGGATCACTTGAGGTCAGGAGCTCGAGACCAGCCTGGCCAACATGGTGAAACCCCGTGTCTACCAAAAATACAAAAAATAGCCAGGTGTGTTGGCAGATGCCTGTAATTCCAGCTACTCAGGAGGCTGAGGCAGGAGAATCAGTTGAACCTGGGAGGCGGAGGTTGCAATGAGCCGAGAATGCACCAATGCACTCCAATCTGGCAACAGAGCAAAACTCTTGTCTAAAAAAAAAAAAATCAGCTCAAAGTCCATTTCCTCTGGGCCCAATAATCCAGTGCCTCTTTTCTGTGCTTCTGTAGAAATGTGGAACTTAGAACATTGATCATTATCAGTAGATGGTCCATTTGTTTCATTTCCCCTAGACTATCAGTTCCTAGAATGGAGAGATCATGTGCTATTTGACTTTGATCCCTAGCGTTAGTCCTAGAATCTGGCACATAACTAGGTACATAACAGATCCTTAGTAAATATTTTTTGGAACAACAACAGAAAAACAAAACAAATGGGTTATAACTGCATGGATCCTGGACCCTGAACAACAGACTGAATCTCTCCCTAAATTCATCTTCCTTTTTCTTCCTTTTGATTTCCTCTCAAACTCCTCTTCCCAGATAGCCGTAAATATATGCTATGTTCTATGACTGATAACAGCAAGCCAGATCTAGTTTGCAATATATATTCTCAGAACATAGCTTTCACTTGGGAAATTCTACTGGGACTTGGTATTTATGATTATGCGGTTCTGGGATTTGTCCATGTTGCCTAAATGCAATGAGTATACAGTAAGTATTAGTATCTACTGTGTCCTATTGGCCATCTGGCATTGGAAGAAAAAGACACATGAAGGACGTGGTGTGCAATAACACAGATGGGCAAAAGTTGAAGGAGCTTCCACGAATTAATTATGACCCAGTTTCCAGCTCTGCATGTAAGTGAGACCCTTCTAACAAAAGAACAGATATTTGGTACAAATTGGAGGTTTCTTATTTCTTTATGGCAAAAACAGGAAGAAAGATTAATTTTACAGACTTAAATTTTAGAAATTGGCTTAGAATGCATTCACACTGTTAAGTTTTACAGTGTGGCAGCAAATGTGAGATATTTCATGTAATCAAGACTGGGTGATCCAGGCCAGTGGCTCTCAGTGGAGGCATTTAAACCATCTAGCATGTATTATGGATCACCATAATATTAATATTAATACGGCATAATATTAATGCCATAATGTTAATGTTTAAGGACATTTTAGTGGGTGAAGGGCAGGGAAGTTAAGGTCCTGCAATATTCAGACCAGTCCCACACAGTAAAGAACTGTTTCACATGAGAAGACATGACTATCTTCTCAGATAGTCACATAGGTTTAAAAAAGAAAAAGCAAACAAACAAATGAAGCTTAGCCTAAAATCAAACTCCAATTTATTTATTGTTTTTGAGATGAAGTCTCGCTCTGTCACCCATGCTGCAGTGGCTCAATCTCGGCTCACTGCAACTTTCACCTTCTGGGTTCAAGTGATTTTCCTGCCTCAGCCTCCTGAGTAGCTGTGACCACAGGCGCCTGCCACCACACCCGGCTAATTTTTGTATTTTTAGCAGAGACAAGGTTTCACCATGTTGGCCAGGTTGATCTCAAACTCCTGACCTAAGGTGATCCACCTGCCTCGGCCTCCCAAACTCCTGGCATTACAGGAGTAAGCTACTGCGCCCAGCCCAAATTATACGTAAATACTGTACAAAGTATTTTTTGCACAATTTAACATATACTGAATTCCCAGGTACCCAACTACCATGTAAACTGAGAGAAGAATTATACTCTTTTTATTAATAGAACTTTACCAAGAGTTAGTATTTTGGAAAAATCACATCACCAACAGCAACACGGCTCATGATTTGAATTGCCAATACATCACTTCCTCCAGTCTGCATATGTAGGTATCCCATTCATGGGAATTCTATACATTTATTACACATTTATTTCAAAATGTCAAACATAAAGAAGTGTTCTAATGTATGTATGACCAAGCATTAACAAACTGAAATATGTATATTCTCCTAGTATATATATGCCTAAACATTTACAATTTGAAATACATATATTCTTTCATAAATCATCCTCTAATTTATGTACATTAAAGTTAGGAAGCTGTATTGCTTTACTTTTTTAATGGTGGTGGTTTAGATTATCTTTGCATTTCAATTCAGGGTAACAAAGTTGGCACTGGTAATATAGGTGGACGCTGGTCTGTTAGGGCTGGAAAATACTCGTCTCAGCCATGTGGTTACCTGGTCGTAACTGAATACCACCACAAAGCTAGTCTGATGCGTTAATGCAGTTGAGGTGGAAATAAGGGAAGACTGTTCAGCCTAGTTTCTAGCCTGATACTAGCACCAAATATCAGACATATGATGTCTGTCCTGTCACAGAAGTTTCTGGAAGCCAACATGAAAAAGGCATCACACAGCTCTCCAGGGGTAACAGTCTAGGAGGCCAGCAGCTATGACAAGGAAAGCAGTGATCTCACCAGCATGAGCCTATTGGAAGAACTGTAACACAAGGGCATGCTGGTTCCTAGAAAAAAAGCTAATAGCTTTTCTCCCTTTTCTTCCCACCTCACTCCAACTCCAAAGAGAAGGCATGGTGTCAGGGACTGGTCTAGGAGAGGACGTTTTATTAGGATAAAGTTACATCAAACTTGCCTCTCGAAGGACTTGTGTCTCTTGGATGCGACAGCCTTCCATCCCTGGAAGCCCAAACTAAGGCTTGGCCTGGCACCCATCTCCACTTGGGAAAAGGCCCAGGCACCAAGTTCTGACCCTCTCTCTGGATGCCCCTGTGTTCCCGAGGCTGGTTGGTTCCTGGCAAACATCAGGCCAACTCTCACTGGCTTCGCTAGGTGGATGGGGAGATGGAGCCAAAGCCCAACAAGTAATAGAGTGTTGCTCTGCAGGCCACTGCCCTCTGTGTGTACATTTCCCTCAAGGTCTCAGTGGGTTGGAGTTGCTGGTTACCTCCACAATGCCAATGGTAATTCCTACTCCTTCTGTCAATTAACCTGATCAAACAATCATGTCTCTCTCCATGCCATTCCCAGAGGGGAAGCTCACCTTGCAATCAAATTGAGAAACAAAGGACACTAGAAATGCTCCCCATTGGACTTCTTCTCCATGGCACCACCCAGAGAAACAGCAGGAGACCGTGGCTGGCCTCAATCTAAGGACCACATTGGCCTTGCCCTGCCTCATCCTCCCTACTCCCCATATTCTCTCTGAGCACAAAGGTACTTCCCATTCTCTGTAAAATGGCTCTTTCTATGTTCTGGGATTTTTGTTTTATTGACTGTGAAAAAACACACCTAACTTTTCCTAAATTTACCATCTTAACCATTCTGAAGTATATAGTTCAGCAGTTTTTTTTGTTTTCTCTTTTCAGACAGGGTCTCTGTCGCCCAGGCTGGAGTGCAATGGCGCAATCTCGGCTCACTGCAACCTCTGCCTCCCATGTTCAAGCGATTCTCCCGCCTCCACCTCCCAAGTAACTGGGAGTATAAGCGTGCGCCACCACGTCAGCTAATTTTTGTATTTTTAGTAGAGATGGGGTTTCCCCATGTTGGCCAGGCTGGTCTCGAACTCCTAGCCTCAAGTGATCCACCCGCCTTAGCCTACCAAAGTGCTGGGATTAGAGGTGTGAGCCACTGTGCCTGGCCTAGTCCAGCAGTATTAAATATACTCACACAGTTGGGC